GTTTGAAGCTGCCCGAGCCGAGCCGCTAACTTTCGACGTGCTTGGCACCTGTTTGCATGCCAGGCCTCCTGCAAGCAAAGAACCCTCGTGCCACTGGGACGCACTTGACACGCTTGCCAAGCGCGACTGCTCCCCACACCAGGTGCATGGTGCAGCCGTCGAGGCTGCAGCTTGGCGCTCCTCGAATTTGTCGTGCTGGTCGTGCCATGCAGCAGGTCTTGAGCAGCACACTGCTGCCGAAGCTGGCCGAAAGGCTGCACTGCGCTTGGGCGGCCTGGCTCGCGTTACCGTGGAGGTTTTCTGGGATGAGGGAGTGTGCGGACAGCATGTGGACAGAACCGAGGCGCAAATGTCCACGGCCATGCGGCAGCGGGAGGACAGAGGTGCCGTCCGAGCTGCTATGGCAAAGGAACAGGACCCTGCCTCTCTGCATCTTGTGAATGCCAGATCTCGCGCTCCGCATTATGTTTCAGCTGCTCAGGACGTGCTCGACTTTTTGGTCGACCTCCTGAGCCTCGGTCAGCCTGCAGTGACGCAGGAAAGTCCAGTGGCGAGCTGTGTGTTCGGAGTCTGTTTTGCGCGTGTCAGTGCGGTCAGGCCGTGGCAACGGTGATCGTCTGCGGGCCGCTGCTCTCCCAGCTGCGCGTGCTGGCAACACCCGTCTGGTTGGGGTATGTTGGGATGGGGATGGGGTGGGGATGTCCTCCGCTGCGTGAGCCAGGCAGAGCGCCACCGGTACATGAATAGACCCCAGAGCATCTGGGAGGCTTATAACATGCCTGTAAGTGCTTGCGCTTGGCTTGGATCGTGTCAGCTTGTTGCGGGTCTTTTGGCCCGCTGCGAAGATACTCATGATGGATGTCGAGAACAATGGGCGGCCGCCTTTGTCGTGGCGCTGTTTCTGGTGATGTGCATACGTGCAGGAAGCGTGTAGCCATGATGTGGCGTGTGCCAAAGGCTCGTGCCAACGCCGGAGGACGTCGATGCCATGCAGGACCAGGGTTCACGATCTAGCGCCAAGCGGGCACCGCAAACAGGGTCATAGACACGAGGCAGCCGAAGAGGAGAGAGCCCGTGCTGCCGAAGAGGCCCAACTCAGCGGGTTCGGCTTTACACCCGCAACTGGAGAG